AGGCAGCTTTCCAGCCACTCTTCCCCAAGCCTGTAGCGCTGCATGGGGTTGTTGTGGCCGAAGTGCAGGACCCGGCACTTGGCCTTGTTGAATCTCATACAATTGGCCTCAGCCCATCGATCCAGCCTGTCCAGGTCCCTCTGCAGAGCCTTCCTCGATCTTCCCTCGAGCAGATCAACGCTCCCGCCCAACTTGGTGTCGTCTGCAAACTTACTGAGGGTGCACTCAATCCCCTCATCCAGATCATCGATAAAGATGTTGAACAAGACCGGCCCCAAAACTGAGCCCTGGGGAACACCGCTCGTGACCGGCCGCCAACTGGATGTAACTCCATTCACCAGAACTCTCTGGGCCCAGCCGTCCAGCCAGTTTTTGACCCAGCGAAGAGTACACTATATACAATGTATAACACCTTCTTTTCATTCCACAAAACCTCCAAAATCTGCAGTTCCATACAAAGATATATTTTGCTCTTAATATTCTAAGAATGTCTCTGGAAATAAGGAAAACGCATCCTTACAACAGGTGGTTAGGATTATTTACAACAACAATGTAGGTACCTATTTTGATATGTTGTGTATTTTTATATATTATAAATATATAAAACATATATACACATTCAAGCAATAATTAGATAGTAGAAAAAAATGCTACACTGCCAATTGTGAGTATGTTTTAAGTAAATAAATGATGCTAAACAGATTCTACTCTGTAAGCATAACCTTTTAATATTACACAGCTCCCTGGAAAAATAACAAGATAAGGTGAGTTTTCACCTGGTATTTTTATGACAATGCTCTCTGTTGTAGAGTATAATAGAAGGGCTGCTAATACTTATGAAGGCTTAAGTATTTGAAGGATTGTAGTTACAATTAAAATTATTATGGTGATTCTCATAAATTATAGAAATGCGTGTTGAAACCTGGACTTCCAAGTAACAAGGCCCAGGGTACTTTACAAAGGAAATCAATAGTCCTGACTCAATTTTTTATTTGGGGAAGACAAGTCACAGAGAGTCTACAGGACTTGCTGAAGGTCACCCAGGCCATGCTTTAATAATTCAGCAAATCGAGCTCCAGGGTTCCTTGCACCAGATCAAAAACTCACCTGGGCACATGGTCTAACATGAACTCTCTACACCAGTTCAAATTCCATATTCAGTTTTCATATTTATAAAATGTTATACCAACCTCATATGGTCAGGCTCATTTTGAATCATGTATCAGCTACTCACCTAACTACACGCTGTGAAAACCAAGTCTATGTGCATGCCTATGGCATACCCTGGCTAATTTGATTGAGTATCATCCTGTGCATCTCCATGAACCCGATCCCATTTGCAGTAGGGGTGTGTCAGTAGAAGACAGAGCATGTATTAATGAACACAAAATCAAGGCCTTCCCAGGAGCAGCTGCCTGGGCTGAAGAAGGAGCATGGATCCCTAATTACCATCCCAATGTGCTCCTGGGTACCTGGTGCCACCCAGCTGACCACGAACACTTTTGGGCACTGCTCAGTTTACAGCCATAGACCCCTAACACAAACTCATCACTAGCCAAAACCCAGTTACCAATCCCCCTTACAACTCGCCCCCACACGGCCCCTGACAGCAGGCCTGTGAGACAGCACCAACCCCACTGCCATAAGGTCACCTTCCTGCCCCTGCAGAGGGGGAGGTTGTGCCTCCGGGGCTTGGGATGAAGGGACTAGGCCGGCCTCCCACCCCACAGCCTCCTTCCACACGTTGACTGTTCAAGACGGCGGGAGGAGGCGACACGCCGGGCTGGGGAAGGGGCTGCAGGAGGAGAGGAGCCATCTTAGCCCGTCCCATCGAGAAAATGGCGCTCTCCACAGCCTCCCCTCAGGGGTCGAGGTCCCATCAAGAAGATGGCGCCCTCGGAGGTGGGGGTGGGCGAGGAGGCGGGCGGGGGGGCGCACAGCGGGGATGCGGCGGCAGCGAGCACCGAGGGACGCGCTG